AGGGAATTCGTGCTCAGTATACAAAGATTCTTCGTGAGGTGTACAAAAGCTTCAAAGCCAAGATATCACCATTCTACAACGATATTAACATCGACGTGAAAAGAAGAGTTAGGCAAGGCGATACCATCTCGCCAAAATTATTCACCGCGATCCTCCAGAACATCATGAGAACATTGCAATGGGAAGATGTGGGAGTGAAAATCGATGGTCGGCAGTTACACCATCTTCGCTTCGCTGATGAAATCGTCCTTATAACACCAAACATTAGCCAAGCGGAACGAATGCTTGCCACCTGTGATAAAGCCTGTGGAATGATTGGTATTCGATTAAATTTCTCAAAAACAATGTTTATGAGTAACGGGCTGTGGTATGCCCCATTCATGCTTAACGGAATTAATATCTCCGAATGCTCCTGCTGCGTCCATTTTGGTCGTGAAAACAACATGATGAACGCCTGAGGTCCAGAGTTGAGCAGGACGAAACGTGCAGCTTCGAGAGCTTTCAAAAGCATCGAGGATGCAGTGATGAGAACAAAGAATACCCGACTCCATGCCCACCTTTTCAACTCCACAATTTTTCCTGCATTAACGTATGCGTCTGAAACCTGCTCGCTGCGCAAGCAGTATGAAAGATCACTCTGCGTTATTGAACGCGCAGCCGAAAGGACGATGCTAGGAGTAGCCCGTGACACACAAATAAGGAAAGGGATCTGAAGCACCGACCTGTATCGGCGATCAATAGTCAAGGATGCCGTTCTGTACGCCAAAAAGTCGAAGATAAGGTAGGCCGGACACGTAATGTGTATGAACGACAACTGATGGACAAGACTCGTTAGTGGCTGTATTTCTCGGGATGTCAAACGTACCGCAGGAAGACCACCTAATCGATGGTCACAGCTCTTCACGAAAAGCCCAGAAGAAAGATATGATGCTCAACGAGTCCATAGAGCGAGGAAAACCCACTGGGCTACTCTCATACGTGACAAGAGGAAATGGATGATTTACTGATGCTCGCCCAAGTCACTCAACGATCAACGGGAATACAAGTAATGCAGGTAAATTTTCTAATCGACTTAGCGCGCGTTACTACTAAATCATTCAAAATTGTAACAATTCGAGAAGGGAATTGTGAAAAAAGTTTGAACTTGGTACTTCGCGTCCACGACATGTCAGTGTCATCTCTAACAAAACTCGAACGGCTAAATCGTTCTATTGCCATTATGGAAATAAAAATCCGAAACAAAACAGCCATCATCCCCATGAGCCGGCAACTCGTCGCCGATAGAGGGAGTGTTGGCAGATGGGTGCTGGCTCCTGGTGTTCGTATCACCCGTCAGTAGCCTAGTGCGTTCTGCTTGTTACTGGGACTCGCTGAGCATCGTATCTTTCTTCTAGTGTTTTCGAGAAGAGCTTTCTCCATCAAATCGTTGGTTATTTTGCCCTGCGTTTGACACACAGAGGAATATGACACTCAGTGATTGGTAAAGAATAATAAATAATAACAACCTGAATTGAAGGTGGTGACGATGACAACGAAACGTTACGTCCTTGCTTGCCCAAGGAATGAGAGTTAACGTAACACATAAAACAAAGACCTCAGAAATGTTTATTGGTATTGTGGGATCGATAATTGTAACCACATTACAACCACAACGTTGCTGAGATATTTGCAAAACTCTGGACCGCAGGTGTCTATGGTGGAGAACGAACGCGCTATTGTCTTTTCCGGGGAGTAACGCGTTCACCACCACACCATGTGGGTCCTTCGTTTCGCTTGTCTCTCAGCTATCGATAGAAATAGATAAAAAATAAATAAATATCGATAGAAATAGCTGAGAGACAAGCGAAACGAAGGACCCGCATGGTGTGGTGGTGAACGCGTTACTCCCCGGAAAGGATAATAGCGCGTTCGTTCCCCACCATAGACACCTGCGGTCCAGAGTTTTGCAAATATCTCAGCAACGTTGTGGTTGTATTTCGCTTAGTACCCTGCCGCGAAATTATAATAGGCAGAAAATAAAAAGGTATAACATTGTGTAACCACATTATTCGACNTCGATAGAAATAGCTGAGAGACAAGCGAAACGAAGGACCCGCATGGTGTGGTGGTGAACGCGTTACTCCCCGGAAAGGATAATAGCGCGTTCGTTCCCCACCATAGACACCTGCGGTCCAGAGTTTTGCAAATATCTCAGCAACGTTGTGGTTGTATTTCGCTTAGTACCCTGCCGCGAAATTATAATAGGCAGAAAATAAAAAGGTATAACATTGTGTAACCACATTATTCGACCGCAATTATTATTATAAAAGCCTTCAAAAGTCAAAATCCCTCTATACTTGGGCGGTTATATGGTCTTCGGAAGAAGGGAAGAAGAGAAAGCAACCCTAATCTCCCAAGAAAAAAGTGTTTTGGGGACTTAATAATACCGTAGGGGCACAAATTTCAACGCGGCACCTGCGATGTGTTCTTTTTGGAACGTCCTTTGAATACTACATTTCGAAACGATAGTCCGTGTGTCAATCACTGTTCGCAAAGACTTTTTGATAATCGAAGCTGTCTTCGAATATTTCGAAATCGAAATCGAATAGACAAGGCTGTGCACTCAATCAACCTAATGGTATGTAGAACTACCAAAGGTCATATCAGACAATTGCGGGAATTATTTAGGGGTAAATTATATCCTGCTGTACGAAATCCCCCTCGCTCAATCATTCCGTGGCGCGAGGAACGAGAACGAACAAGAAGGGGTGGGAAAAAGAACATATTAAAATTGGGAACTTCTCAACGGTAGTTGAAAGAGTTCCTTCGTTGACTTTGTTCCTGAAGAATTTCTCGCAGACGAACTTATCGAGATGCTTGAAGAAATGGGTATTAGGCGAAAGGTCTAGCAGGCATGGTGGATTAGATTGGGCTTCGTTGCCCAGCTCATTTGAGCATTTTCAGAGTCGGTAGTTCGATATGTGGTCACGCGTTATCAAGGAGAAGGGTTGTTGAAGATTCTAGTGCTTTGGTCGATTTGTTGTACGTAATTCTCTGCTGTACTCGTTCTACCTGAATTCAGGGAGATGTTATGGATCAAACCAGCTGAAAGATATCATGCAGTCAGCATGTTCTTCTTTTGGTGCAATTTCGAGTTTAGGAAGTCTACAAACTTTCCGCGCGATCCAAATAATGAATGGAATGTTGGCCGCTATCATGGGCGCTCCATTTCTTGTCGCCCTTCAGAGTATGATAAAGAAACGGGTCTTCTCGTTGCGTAGAAGAAGCGCCAACGATACATCGAAACAGCGATTTATTCAATTCTTGAGGCATCCATTTGTGCTTCTTTAACTTTTAAATCCCTTCTAGATGTTCCGAAACAGTTGAATTGTTAACATTAAGTCCTTATTCTTTACAGTAAGCGTTAAATAGTTGAAGTTGTGAATTTGCTCCCACCAAGGCTCTCAATTCATCATCGTCAATGACGGAAGGATGACAACGACCATCCTCAACGCGGAATCTTTTTTGGAAAACTTACGGAAGTTTTTGGGCTAACTTTCGGAGCTTAAGTTGGCAGAAGTAAATTTGTCAAAACTGTAGTCTTGACACATTTAGAATTCTAACTTTTTTTTAAAATTTTTTTTAAAAACTTCTCAGGGACATTATTTATATCTTAACTCAATTAGCGAAAGCGAAAGTGCATAAAATGAACTTCGCATTGATATATAACAATGTAACTTGGCAATTGTAACGCGTCTAAAGCATATAGAAGTAAGACTACAAATCGGACCTTAATACCCCAGAAAATTAGTAATGCGCCGAATCCCACAGCTTGCAGTTACGAGCAGTGCACTTTGCCTCCAACTAGCGCAACACCAAGTTGTGATTCTCATCGAAACCAACTTTCGAATAGGTTTCAACGTTTGACACAAAACATCCGACATATATTGAGTACAATACATTTGCTTTGAAAGTGATTGCCGCCTTCCACTTTGAATAAATGTCGCAGCTCACGTTGAACGTTATGATTTGAAGCAATAAGCATTAGAATCTTCGGATCTTTGCCTTCAAGGTCATAGTCTCTTATTGCACTCGCTAAAATTCTGATTTCCTAAGGCAATTTTCCTAATGAAACCTGTTCTTGTTCACATTTTCTGCGAGAGCCGTGTGTCGAAAACATATGCTCCACAAACAAGCGAGATTTCGTCCGGCAAGGTCACTGTGTCACTGGCGCTTCTGGATGCCGTGCCTACACTGGAAATTCTACAGATTGAGAGATTACTTCCAGTTTTTAATTCCGATACTTGACATATATACAACGAGAATACGACTATGTATCAACTATATAATCAATTGAGCCGATAAGCTAAAGTGTCTTATATAAATTTGCATAGTTACCAGTACTCTAGTAACCGAGGAGTTTTAGGCAGTTGTCGGAAAACAAACTTCAGGCGCTATATTTGAATGAAATATTGTCAAAAATGATTTGTCGCTTCACCATTGCCGGTTTCTTTTCCTAAGCATCTGTGGTTATGTGGAGGCTGCATTCCCACTCACACTTCCAAATAGGGAGCTAGCCCTATAAATGCTATTCCCTTGATGCATCTCTTGTGAACATTTGTGCAGTTCTAGTTCTTGAAGCATAGTGATGAGTGGAGAAATCGAGCAGATTGCCAGAAATTTATTGCAAGGAAAATCCCGTCGCTTGGAAGAATGGAAATGCACTGAAGTCTCTATCTAGTTTCTTCAGTCACAAAAGTTCCCACATCTATCATTCATTCAAAGTTTTCATGTACTTGTATACCGAGTATAGGCGCGTATACATTAAACGATGGATTCCCGCATAAATGAAAACGAATGAGAACAGTCGATAACATATTAGGATAAACAAATTTCAACGATATTAACAGAAACGTTGCTCAAATCCTAAAACATTTGATAAACAAGGATAAACAAAGGGTGGCAAAAAACAGATACTCAAAATTACTTCCACTGTAAATGGTAACATGAGCCCAATGAATCTATTTCTTCTTCGAAGATTCTTCACTCTCGGCAGCTTCACGCTCTTGTTCCACTTGCTTCATTAGTGCCTCAACTTCATCAACAGTGAGAACTCGATGTGTACATTCGCCAGGCTGGAAGACTGCCATTTAGAGAACGAGTACAAAACGGACGGACAGACAAAGTACAGGTGAAAATTCTAATAAGTTCTCCCCTATTCCACATAGGGATTCTTGTCATCGATATTTTGAATAAAATCGGTCAAAATCCATGTGATTACAAACTGTTCAACTATGAAGAAGACTCACCACGTCAGTTTTCTTCATTACCGCAATCTCTATATTCTGAGCACCGGACTGCACAACCTGATCAAATGTAAAGATCAAGAAATTAGCTTTCTCAAATTTCTTCGAAAGGAAATTTCGAAATCCAAATTAAGAAGAGCAGGACTCGAATATAAATGTAGCCGAAGGAACTTGAAAGTAAAAAAAAAAACTGTGTTGAGTTCTTAAGGCATTTTACTCCCTTTTTCGATTTCTTTCGATAAAAGAATAATACGGAAAACATTTCTAAGGAAACATGCACGACTAAGAAGTTCTTCATTAGTCATAAAAACCTTAATCTTTCTAGTCACTATGGGACAAACTGAGACTCGGTAAAGTCTCCCTACCCTAGATCAGTTTTTCTAGTTCCCTGTCACTCCTAATTTGGTAAAAAAAATTACTATGGAAGTTTCTGCAGTAAAAGCAACTAACTGGTGCGAAATCAAAATAACCTGAGAAAGGGCTCTGACTACGAGTTTAAGAGTGGAGGCCTCGTCCTTGATAGTGTCATCACAGTAGTGCTCCTCCAAATATTCACGAACCGGTTTCTCACCACGACCTGTGGAATTCGCCTTAAAAATATTTCTTGGATAAACAAAAACTGTATTCACACTACGTTACTAATGGAAATAAAAACAGAAGCAAATATACAGCAAAACTTACAAGATATTCATAGTATGCTCCTGATGGTTCCGTTTTAAAAAGCCGAGGATGCCCATCAAAATCAAATCCGCCAATCAACATGGAAATACCGAACGGTCGACGTCCGGGAGACTGAGTGAAGCGCTGTAGAACACGAACGGTTAAGGAATAACAATGAGATGTGAACCAACAACAGATGTGAAAAAATGCTGAAATCAAACACAAGCAGCATACCTGTTTAGTATTTGCAATATACCTCGAAATATACGCCACGGTCACAGGATCCTCTAGGGTGAGCTTATAAGACTGGCATTCAATACGCGCTCTGTCAACCAGTACACGTGCATCTGCTGATAGGCCTAGAAACGTTATGACCGCACTGATGATATACTGTGGTTGGAATAACTTTTCACCATAAATGGTAGTTGTAAACTGCTGTAATCAATGGATTTCGTCATTTAAAAGATTACTCCTAGCTAATTCCGTGTTACTTGGCGTTTACAACCCAACCTAGGCTAAAGGTGATTTTTCCCATGTCTTCAACGTAACTACTATAAAAGATTCTGAAAAGAGTCAATCAATTACTACTACACTAGATCGGATTTACTGGAAATACGAAAGAATTTTTATAAACGGATTCAAGGCTCCTAGTGCATATGTACGAAATAATATGTGAAAATATGTGGATCACCTTCCGCTTCGAAAGCATATATTGTATACAACGAACGTCATATAAATGGCTAGAACTTGGAGAACTTCTAAATAAAAGATCAAAGGTCGTACGTCAACGACTTCAACAACGTAAAAGTTGACTAAATCAAAACACCTGAGGAAGATCACATGTCATTACCAATCTAAGTTTATATGCAACCAAAGTCGCTGGCATCCCAGTGCTTAAAGGAATAGAGTGACGTCTCATTCGTGCGAAATTCATCTCTTAAAGAAGAGAGAAAGCTGCAAAATTTGCGAAAAAATCCTAAATTTGGAATAAACAGTTCCATCTTAGAAGAGTACCGGTGGCGAAGAAACCGATAGCGACCACAAGCAGCAATGACTAGGGTTGTACAGTTTCGAAACAGCATCAGCGATTTTCCGTCCTGAAGCCCGACGTAACATGTAATCAGTGAAGAACTGTACAGCGTTAGGTTCAAACGGGATAAGCCCAAAGCACTTTTCAGACGTTACGTGTCAGAGCGAAAGGTTCCTGAAGAGCGAAACAGACTTTGTTGTTGAAAAAAACAGATTTTACACAGTCACAATGTTAGCAGGTACTAACCGAAAAACACTTTCTTGGTCGCGTATAAGCTCTTCATTAGACTTACATTCAACAAGACTGACAAGACACTGGAATATCAGAACAATAGTGAGCATACTGAAATTCGGCAAACCATATCCACACAAAAACACCGTCACTAAAGAATAGGATACTGCTGTGTTTCATTTTCATCAGTTTTATTGCCTTAGATACTGGTTTTACAAGTGGTTACGGAATGTCAAAGAAGAAAAAATAAGGCAGCAAACTTGCTTCCCTTGTACTTACAAGCACATTTGAATTAGTACAAGTTAGTATTCACAAGTACTAACGAACTTGTAAATACCATTATATAACTGCATTCAGCATACCAGAGCAGAACGGATCGTGTAAAGCGGTGCTTATTTCTATAAAAATAATGCCGCCTACATAGTCTTCATGATAATGGCAAGAATTGAGAAGTTGGAAATCTTATCTATTTAATACCTCCCAACGGTTTACCACCCAATCGTGGTTGGGAGATGTACCTGGGTGTCTGCGGTAGGATTCATCCTTCAGCAGTGGCTCCTAAGTTGAGAAGGAGTCCGGCGTTTCCATCAAGAAGCCTAGCTAAGAGTAAACCAATACTAAGATCCACCATCGTCTTGGTATCAAAATCGCATGGTGGCAAATCTCCTTTTAATCCACAGGGGCGACGACCGCCTGTGGTGGTGAGACTTTGGCCAGGATAACCTTGGGACTCCAAGAAACCAGAGGTAAGCCAGTAAAACACCAAAAAAATGTGGAAATTATGATGGAGTCCGCACAACTAGTGAAGACAGGCCATCCAAGTATCCAAGCAAGTATCCATTTAATACGGGCTCTAGTATCGGTACCATACAATTATGACCCAAGAAAAGATCTGTGGATTGAAAACGTCAAGCCTCATCCAGATATACGGAAGAGAGCGATTAAGCAAAATAACATATAACACTATCCTACGGAATTTTAACCAAACCATTGATATCATTTTCTTCTTTCGAACAACCCTACTACGCCAGAAATTAAAATGTTGAGAACTCAAACGCTACAGAAGCTTCAACTAAGCGAAACTAACCAGCAAATGCAAGCATCACATGGTCGTCGATCATGTGGATCTTCCGGATCGTACGATCATCTTGAAGGGCTGGAATTGACTTCTTCTCCACACCAATCACAATACAATCTTTTCCTCTGACACCCACCTACAAAGTGAAACTCTACTATCAGTCCGGTCACAGTAAAAATTCACTTCACAGTAGTGTAAAAAAAATCTAAAAAGAAAAAAGGGAGGAAACTACTATTCAAAACGATATGTTACATGTCTAGCAGGAAAATAAAGTAGAAGGCCAGAAAAAAGAAAAATTCCTGGTTTAAAAAAGTCTCCTAGGAACGCGCAGCCATCACCTTACTTAACGTACCGCAGTTGAGCCTTTCTTTACTGCTTCTTGAGCATATTCCACCTGAAAAAGATGACCATCCGGTGAGAAGATTGTAATGGCACGATCATAGCGCTCCATCTGAAAAACTCGAATGAGAAATTGCGAACTGAAAGAGAGAAAATGGATTCGACTAAGAGTTGGAAACACAGATACATACAATACAGTCTTTTTGCACCTATTACAAAATCACGGAGAAAGAAAAAAGAAGAAAAAAAGAGAGAAGGGAGAGGAAGCAAAAAGATATGAGCACTAGGAACCCCAAAGTCATCAAAGGAGCATTAAAGGAAGCGAATGTTGGCTTTCGAGCAACTCTAGGATGTTACTAGTTTTTCTAACCACTTACTTCGAACTTGGTACTGGAATCGTTCTGATTTGGCTTGTTCCTTCATTGTTGTTCTGATTTTTCGACATAAAAATATTCTATCGATCGATCTTTTCAAATGCTTAAGTGGGACCTACCTCTCCTCTATCCATGTGGTGTGTTCATCCCGTTATTCCTGGGCCGTCTCTATAGGTCCTCTTCTATTTTTGCTAATATCATACTAAATCGCTATGTTTATTCTATTGGATTAGAATCCACTAAACATTAATGACCTGTTTGGACGTTGCTTTTCATATTTTCACCTTGCATTGCTATGAATGTATAGTTCGGAGTGTTGCAGATGCCATATGCGAATCAGCCTACCATCACTATACTCGAGTTAAATGATGAACTAGTTCGTTTCTCTCTGGAAGACACCGATCTCAGCGTGGCGAATTCGTTACGACGTGTGTTCATTGCTGAGGTGAGCTTCAGGATACGACATTGTATTTCCAAACCGATCGTCGTTTAACCTCCGTGGTAGTAGTCATTATTTTCCTGAATTGTTAAGCTTACTCGAGGCTATTATATAACGTCTGTTCGGCTAGCGTCTCCACATCTTTGCCTTCATCAGAGCCGATGAACCCACTCGATGGTTCAATGTTAGGAAGAACAGAAGAACGTCGAAGAAGACAAAGACGTCGAAACGTTAGCCCAATAAAGGTTATAGAACTATATCGTATAACTGAAAGAAAGGCGAAACGAAGGACTCGTATGTTGTCGTGGTGAACGACAACCGCAGACACCAGCGGTCCTGAGTTTTACAATTATCTCAGCATCATTGTGACTATTTCGTATATTTTCCGATCATGTTGTTACTAATCTCATGTATTCCTTAACCACAAGATTTAAGTGAGGTATACAAGTGGTTTCGGTTTAGAAGGAACATTTTTGAGGTACCTACGATTGCTATAGATTGGGTGCAGATTGAGTCGAACACCAGTGTGCTTCATGACGAGTTCATCGCTCACCGGATGGGACTCATACCAATTGTTTCGGATGCTGTTGTCGACGACATGCAGTACACAAGGGTATTTTTCCCTTTTCTTCACTTGTGATTTTTCGTATACGCTTGTGGAACGGGGCTTTTTATTCATTGAAGTTGTCGGATTATCAAGACATTTCGTGCTGTGTTCTACTACTATTGCGCTAGAACAGCAACAGAAGCGTTAGACATAAGCTGACGACTCTTACTATAGTCGGATCACCTACTGGGAGCTCGTGGCTTTTACAACCCTTTTCTACGTAGGAACGAGTGTGACCATTGAAAATGTATTTGTAGGAATGCCAATGTACAGAATTCTGTGATGCATGCTCAGTATTGTTCGAGTTGAATGTGAAGTGTAAAGAAGAGGTGACTCGATCTGTTACTACGGCAGATCTTATTTGCAAGACTGAAAAATACAGTAACACAGTGAGTTACTTTTTCTTCGGTACTGCTGTGCCTTCAAGAAAGGGTTTGCATTGAAAGACGACCACTAGTATGTTTTTGTTTTTGGTAAAGGTGTTGTTCCATTGGCTGGTTCTTTACAAAGCAGTGAACGACATTTAATCATACCAATCGTCCCGTACCGTTATACAAATTAGTATCCGTAGTCTTATAGTCTGGTTTATCTTTTGGTATCCCTAATCTCCAGGTGTATCCCGCCTGTGGCACCCATTTGAAATGTCGTGGAGCACATTTTAGTGACGAGTATGGTCAACATGAAGATATCCTTATCGTTAAATTGAGGAAAGGACAAGAAATCAACCTCAGATGCTACGCTAAGAAGGTTCGCTATAGTACGTATCTGTGGATATGGAACGATCAGTTCAATATTCTTATTTTCTATCTTTTTTTGTCGAATTTTGACCAGAATATTGATCGTTTAGGGATTTGGAAAGGAACATGCGAAGTGGAATCCTACTTGCGGTGTAGGGTTTGAGTATGATCCCGACAATGCCCTGCGACACACCGTCTATCCAAATCCGAAGGAGTGGCCGCGTAGCGAATTTTCGCAACTTAAGGACCAGGAATTGGAAGAGCAATATGAAGCTCCCTACGATCCTCACGGAAAGCCCAATAAATTTTGGTTTTCGAGTAAGCTGTATCTTAATGCTTTCATATTTGTCGTTTAAACTAGTGATTGTCTACAGTTGAGTCTACCGGAGCGTTGAAAGCGGATCGTATTGTTTATTCTGGAGTATCTGTTTTGAAGAAAAAACTCACTGACCTACAGGTATTTTCTTTCCGTTTGCACTTTCTTTTCTACGCTGTTCTGTTTTGTACCACTGAGATGTACTGATTTCAAGGTCAGCCTCCGTAACGAGCTGTTGCAGCATGGATTAGCTATTAATAATTGAATTGTACAGCCATAACTGAAAGGCAAGCGAGGGTCCTCTGCTTTTGTTGTGATCATTTCTTTTTGTTTGTTGATTTCTTGTGTTGTGTAAGTACGCATATGAATGAAGCTCTCACTCCCAGTATTGTTCCAAACGTGCAGATCTGTCGGTGACGTCATATTTTCACCAATATCTCGACTTTTTTCTAACGGTTTTAACATGTCAAAGTTTCCTAATCAGGTATTTTTTACGACTTTTGGCACATTTCGCGGAATAGGTACCTTACTTTTTTCCAAATTACGTAGGACATAGCAACGGTTCTTATCTGTTGAAAAAGGTTGTTTTCATTAATCCAAAGAGCCGAGATCTATTTGCATTTATATTTGCGGCCTTACCATAAGTCTAATGTCATCTTTGCAACTTTAAGTATGAGTGAAGAGGGAACGAGCAAGAAGTTTGGATCACTAGCGACGCTAGAGGCAGTAAAGGCTATTCAGGTTTGTATTTAGTTTCCTCCGGAGGTTTTCCGGGTCACTGACGTTTGTGACTTGTTTAGGAAAGTACCAATGCTCTAGCATCGGATAGGAAAGGTGAGAGGATGGAAGTTGATCCCATTGAAAGTCAACATGAGGCAGAACTTCTGGCTGAATTTGAGCGTAGGCGACGTGCTCGAACTCTTACTCTACCTACTGACGATGTACAGGTAAGTTCATATCCTTTTGTAAGAAATCTTAGTAGTTGTGAGAGAACTATCGATATTTTTTTTTAGTAGGGTATACTTATCGCTAATAAAGGCGGTCGTATCCGGCTTCATTTACCCTTCCAGGTGAAATTAAAACTACGAAAGTTGAATCAGCCGATATGCTTGTTCGGAGAGGACATCCTTGACAGAAGAGAGCGTCTTCGTGCATTGCTTTCCACAATGACAGAAGATGAGGTCGCAAAAATCCTGCATACTGAAGAAGTTTGTTTACATCATCTACCCTATCAGCTTGGTATTCTTTTTGTGGAAAATGTTATTACGTTATTAAGGGTTTCGTCGAAAAGCCAGACGAAGAGACAACGACATGGTATCATCGTGGTCCAATGTCGTTGCGTGCAGCTCGCGTGGCTATTGCAGACTTTTCCCTACGCAGAGCAAAGGAGAGGTTGATTTTATTTGGTTGTTTTGTCCGTCTTCTAAAGAAGTCAATTTCGGTTTTTCCGCTGACTGTCGCACCTTGACCTTTCAACCAACGATTTTGTAGACTGATTCGTGCACGTGAAAATGCCGCACGACCACCGCATGAAAAGGCACTGGCACGTCAAGAAGCACATAAGTGGATACAGCAGTTGAATTTACATGCTTCTCAAGTTGCGGATAGTCGACCTGTGGCATTCTGCGAATTTTCTCCTGACTCTGAACACATTGGTGAGCTTTCCGCTTCAGATGGTTTTGAAAATCCGTTGACCAGATTAGGAATTCAGTGTAATTCTGTGCAAAATTTGTTTATAGTAACTGCTGGTTGGTCTGGTCAACCATCAGTATGGCGCAGGGAGACATGTGAGCGCATGATACGATATGTTGGACACCAGTCACAGTCTGGTTGCGCTCGATTTCACCCGCATGCTTTTATATCAGCAGATTTGTCTGAGCTAAACGTGGCCAGCTGCGCACATGATGGTAAGGTCGCTCTATGTGATTAAGACTATGGACTGCATCCCTTCGATAGAAACCAAGAGTTCCTTGTAAAGTTAGAACTGCTTGAAAAACCAAATTATTTTGCTACAAACTCAACATTTCACTGACAGGTTCATCTTATGAATGAAATCCAATACGACAACATTAGATTCCGCTCAGTTAACACTCTGTTGGCAATATTTTGTATAACTGTCGTTTAATATATTCGGTTACTTTGTTATGACTAACGAAGACTATTGTTACTGATTTCATGACAACCACATTTCTTCCATGTACATTGGAAGCTCTAGCTAGTCGGTTTTATTGTTTAAATATGCGCTTCTACATCTTAAAACTAAAGACCTATACATAGGAACAGTGTATTTATGGTCCTTGGATAATGAAAAGCCACTGGCTGAACTGGAGAAACACGAAGCTCGTGTATCTCGGCTGGCTTTTCATCCAAACGGTCGGCATTTGGCGACAGCCTGGTATGTTACAAACATTGTCATCCACGTTACAACCGTTTTATTTTCCGTATATTTTATCTCCTTTCAGCTACGATTCTTCATGGAGAATGTTTGATTTGGAAACGAGTGAGGAATTGCTATTCCAGGAGGGACATGCAAAGGTATGCTGTCTTAAAATCCATACTCAGCCAATAGTGTTGTGTTTTAGTCAGTCGCAGATGTAGCTTTTCATCCTGATGGTTCGGTAGCACTAACTGGTGGTCTTGACTGCTATGGGCGGGTTTGGGATTTAAGAACTGGGCGATGTATCATGTTCCTGGATGGTCACACTAAAGAATTATACACGGTTGACTGGCTTCCAAATGGGTGCGTTTCGGAAAGAGTTCATTAGATCATCACATCGCATTTATGTATGGTCGACCAGATTGCTTCATTAGTGTTGATAGGAAATAGTGATGTTCCGGCACTTTTGCAGATACGAAATGGTGACTGGAAGCGCAGATAATACTATAAAAGTCTGGGATCTTCGTATACGTAAGAATACGTATACGATGCCGGCGCACTCGAGTGTAGTATCTAAAATAAAAGTCGATTATCAAGGACAGTACTTGGTATCAGCAAGTTACGACAATTCACTTAAGTTGGGTTTGAATTTCAGATCCGTTTCTCTTTATCACGTAAGAACACTTGTTTGCTCTATCCTGTTCAGGACATTCTATACGTACTCTATGTAACCAAGCTCATTTCTAGTTCCTTCGGTTAACTTAATCGTTGGTCATTCCAACTTCATCACTCTCCCAACATTATTTCCTTTCTAGCACTTCTAACACTTTGATCTTTGACTTTCTTTACTTATTTCAGATATGGTCAACATCGGGATGGCAACCATTAAGACAGTTAAAAGGACATGACACTAAGGTTGGAGAGTTTGGACAAACCACGGTATACAACACTAACAGCCGGTATTTCAGGTCATGTGTGTTGATATCAGTCCGAACGGTAAATGGATAATATCTTCAGCATTTGACCGCACATTCAAGTTGTGGACTCAGTCAGAGTACTGAAGTCGCTTGGTTTGCATCACAATGTCTCACTGTTAATTCTCTGTTCATGGTTCTGATTTCTTGTTGTTCGAATAAAAAAAGTCTACTAGCACAATTTCATTTACACTGTATATTTACACATGCAAAGTTGACTCAACTACAGTGACTGTTGATTTCGAAACCAACGGACTGGCCAAGAATGAGGATCATTGAGTCGAACAGTTACACTGTACTCTGCCGGAGTCCACTAGTGTTCAAGATTCTTTTACCACACATGGCGCAGATCCCCTTTTGATAAGCACACGTTTGACAGTAGTGCGAGCCCACCTGGTGTATCGAGCACTTACATATTTTACATTTTGAATTCATTACGCTGGCTCTGAAAATCTTCCAATGAATATCAAGTAGGCTAAAGCCAGAGAAAATTGAACGAGAGATGGCTGACCCACTTCATCTCACTTCCGATCAACTTGTTCTGATTTGCGGGTGGCCTCTTGTGTACTCCAGAAAGTTTGTTATGTGGTTTATTTCGATACGGGTCAATACCAACGATTTTCGTAAGCTTTTTTTGGCCTGTACGGATGAAATTGGTGATGGGTAATTTGTGGACAAATGGGAATTATAACTCACATGTATCGCATACCATGGCTTGCTTTAAAACGTTCCTTCGAAGCTGATTGATTTGTTAGGAAACTTACGATCTCCGACGATTCTAACTAAATTAGAGCCGTGAATATATTAAAACCGACAGTAATCTTCGTCCTTAGCCGTATTTTATTCCTTCATGATAAGGGGAAATCTATTGCACTAGTACGACGATGTTTGAAAATATACTGTGATGTCATTTGACGTCTTGAAAGTCCCAGTGAGATATTAAAAGTGAAGGAAGTTGGATCACTTATAAAAAAGAACAATATAAAGAGGAAAAGACTAAAGAAAAGCAAAAGAACTTAGTCATATTTGAAGAGCTAGCACTTTCTGGAAGAAATCTCCACTCCTCCAGAGTTTCGAACAAGACAGTCAAAGTTAGCGAAAGGAAAGGAAAATATTACATACAACTAAAGAATTACAAGGCTAGAAGCTTAAACATCGCAAATTATGACAACTGAGAATTTAAAAACTCGCTTAGAAGCGCAATGGACGTAATTGCAGGAGGTTCGCCGGCTATTACGAGAACTAAAAATCTTTGAACGTGCGGATTCCGACGAAGTGTTGATGCGGCAGGACATCTTCAGACTTCTTACCTTCGGCATTAAAAAGACGTCGAGGAGAATCGATGGGGTTGGTGCTTGGTGATGTTCTCCAAATTTTGTCTTTAGCATGCTTTTGCAATACTTTCATTTATTTTTTATTAAGAGCAAAGAAGACGATAGCAGTGCAGCTTCTTTGCGACTTCGTGTACTCCCTGAGAACATTAAGGAAGAGTTGAGAGCTCTACGAAGGGCGAAGAATGATCACCATTATGAAAAAGAGGATGTAAGAGCTGAGCGACAGGAAGAGAATCGAGGTTACATTCTTATTCTTTGGTTATCCCTAGAGTTAATAATCCATTCACTAATGATACTTACTAGTTACCGATCTTCCTTAACAACACGATTTCTATAGTTTTTATACTCTATTCATCATTTAAACTCTTTTTTATCCCTTTAGAGCTATGGCAAATCCAAGGACTAGCGTGTTCCCGTTAGTAACTATTTTAGTCATTGTTGGCATAAAACGAATAGGATCTTTCTTAGCTATATATTACTTTACAGGAGTGAAGTTGTTCTCGGATGGGAGTACTGTAGAGTCTGCCAAATCGTTGAGGGATAGAGATGCTTCGCATTCGAACAAAGTCTCAGTCCGTAACGATGAAATCCGGAAACAAATCACCGAGAAGGTAGTATAGAATTTGTATTAATAACTTTCAATGACGCTGAGATATTTGCAAAACTCCAGAACGCAGGTGTCTGCGGTGGGGAACGAACGCGCTATTGTCCTTTCCGGGGAGTAACGCCTTCACCACCACACCATGCGGGTCCTTCGTTTCGCCTGTCTCTTAGCTAGTTCTATCGATCTTTTGCCATCAGCAGTTATCCGTCAACGGGATTCATCTGGGGAGCCCAAATTGGCAACGAACCCAGTTAAGCTGAGAATGCAGTTATAATCACAATTTTAATTTTAATTAAACAATAGACAGTAAATAATGAGTTAAAATTATGATTATAACTGCAGCCTCAGCCTAACTGGATTCCTTGGTTCGTTGCCGATTTGGGCTCCCCAGATCAATCCCATTGACGGCTGACTGCTGATGGCAAAAGATCGATATAACTAGCTGAGAGACAGGCGAAACGAAGGACTCGCATGGTGTGGTGGTGAACGCGTTACTCCCCGGAAAGGACAATAGCGTGTGCGGTTCGGAATTTTGCGAATATCTCAGCATCATTAGTTATATTTCGCAATATACCCTGCCGTTAAAAAGAATAGGCAGTAAATAATAAGTCAAAATTAATAACTTTATTTAACATTGTTGGATGAGTGTGGAGCAGTGGTCAAAGGCGTCCTGCGATACACATGGGATCGATCCCAGCGCCCATGGCCCACCAAGCCTTCCATGCCTCCGGGGTCGGCAAATTGGTACTAGACTTGTCTGGGAGGATAGCAGCACTGACTCGATACATCGGTAGGCCACCGTGAGTCATTGTAAAAGCTGGATATGCATTCAGTCACCTCCAGGGATGTTTAGTAGAGTTGAACGCACGGCGCATCCATCAGGGATTGGTCAGCTGTGAGAGCTTTGTGCTTTATTATTTGCCACGACCGACTTTCTATTAACCTCGGCATTGATCAAGTGATTTTCTTCGTATTTTGTTGAGCAAACGCGAGGTGTTACTATCCTTTGTTCACGATTAAGCTGACGTTTCGGCGGATTTCGCCTTCCTCAGAGCCTGGAAAGGTCAAGTTGATAGCAATCTGCTCGGCCAGACGCCTCCATAACCAAACAAAGAAACTCCAAACCAAGATTTCAATCACTTTGAACACAGCTTTGCACACTCACCGCTTTCTATGAGGTTTCCACTAAGTGTGTCACGTAGAGACCAACCGCACAGAAATCACGTGGAAGTATAATGTGCCCCTCACATCAGAAAAGCAGTTTTATATACTGCCATATATCACGCGTGATCAAAGAAATTACAAGTTTAACTTTCATGCAGCTTTCATAGATTGATTAATAATACTTGATATTTGATACTTGAATGGCCTGTCCT